CCGTAGAAATCCAAATTATTATTCCATTTTTATTGAATATTATCATTTTAACCATTTTAAACCATTATTCATATATAGAATATGGATTACAGCATATAAAATTACATTGTCAGTATTAGGAACACAAACTGTCAGTAATAGACACAAACATTTGCGGTTATGTCAATATTAGGAACATTTTTTCTTTTCGTCTATAATCGAAAAATTATGAATTAAAAAATATTTTGATTAAATAATTTTATAAAAAACATTATTCTCAATTATCCAAATTATTCAAAAAATCGGAAATGCGATCATTTATTGTGTCCCACATATAAAATATCTCACGCCAAAGTTGAATTTGTTGCGAAATATGTCAGTAATAGGGACACTTACCTTAATTAATAAATAATTATTACTTAAGCAAAGGTGGCGCTGCTGTTGATGATTAAATCGAATTCAAACAAGAATTTTTAATGCCATCTACAATTCAGCGTATTAATTAGCATTTACATGTACATAGTACAGTTCTCTCTCTCTCTATAATCAGAAATAGATTCAATTTTAAAACTAACCCAATTATTATTAACAATTTACTCCAATTAAACTACTTTTATTAAGCACTTACTTGTTCTCAATAAACAGTTAAATTATTACAAGCATACAAATTTACATAAACTTCTTAATTAAAAACATTTTAATTATTTAATTTTTTTTTTCCTCAATTATATTAAAAAAAAAAAATATTAAAATATAGTCCACAACAATAATAAATTGATGACGTGGGGTTTTCAAATCGTACATTTTTGTTTTTGTGCTCAAATTATTAAAAATTCATAAAAAGATAAAAAGAAAAATAGCGCATTTAATATTATGAGAGAATATTTTGTTTGCTTTTGTTGTAAAGGCGAATTAAAATTGAAGTACAATAAAAAAAAAAAATTAACAATCCATTCAACGTTTTAAATTGTTTATTCAGCACAATTTACTACAATCAAGAATCAACATATGGGTAAAAAAATTATTATGACAAATTCATCACATAGTGAAACCACATAAAAAATAAAAAATGTACAAATATACAAGTTAATATTAAGTAGAAAACTAAAACAACACAACACACAAAACAAAAACTCTCTTTTTTAATTCTATTAATAATAAAAAATACAGTAAGGTCATGATATTTTAAACTATTAAAAGAAAAAAAAAAACACGTTTTTAAAATTTTTATATTGGTTTGCTTAATATAATCAGCTGACAACTCTATAATAAACAACATAATCAACTGCTTATTAATATACTGTAAAAAAAAACAGAAATATTACAATAGAATTAGTCAAATACTAAGGAACTGAGTGTATTCCGGGAGACTTAGTGTCTGTTTAAAAACAAAACACATAAGTAGCAAGACAAGTAATGCATAATTTTAGTGCCAGGTTATTTAAATAGATTTACTAAATAATTTTCCTTGCCAAAATTCATTCAGATTAGGATTTATTTAAAATTAATTATACTGCCATATTCAATTAAAATTTCCTATGTATGGATTAATGGAATTTCTAAAAAGAAAAATGTATGAATTAAGTATGTAAGTATAATTATAAATTAATAATAAAATTTAAGTTTAACATGAAAATATATGAAAATGATAGATATCCAAGCTTCTATTAAGTAAAAAATCAATTTTTTTTTAACCCTTTAATAATTCTAATCTAATTGCAATTCTAATCATAATGCAAAAAACAATAGAATACTTATTGTATGAATGTAAGGCGGTAACTGACTTACAACTGAGATGATTCAGAAGAGAATTTGTGAACCCGACTGTGACTGGAGGTAGCTTCAACAATATAATTTGTCAGAGGTCTAAATATAGTGCTAACTTAGGTGGAAATGGGAATCACAAAAGATCCTATAGGTCGATGTGAGAAGAGTCTAAGGGCCTATCTACCTATTGTTGTGTAATAGTATTTTTGCAAAATATAATTAATATAGTGAATGCGAAACATACAACATTCAAAACTTTATTTAATATTAATTTTTAAACGTGATTTCACTGTAATTTTTTAATATAATATTAAGTTATATATATTAAATTGTTGGAAAGTATATTTACAACATACCAACAAACACATAGATATCTTACCTACATATTAATTTTTAAAATGAAAATAATAAGCAAACGAGGAAAAAACAAAAATTGAAATAATTTATCAAGGCTAAGAGTATTTTATTTTTGTTTTTTTTTAATATTATAAGTAAAAGCTATACGTATAAGGTTTTTTTTTTTCACCGATTTTTTTTTTCTATATTTTCAACGCATAAAGTAATAAGATTAATGATTAGCTTTTATTTTTATCAATTTTTTTTTATTTCTGTTCTTCTTCCTTTCATTTCTTTTATTTCTATTTTTATTTATACTTTTTTTTTGTAGGTACCTTTATTTAGAGTAAATTATTTATTATAAAATACATAACTACTTACATGTTAGTAGGTAAGTAACCTAACAACATAAGTAAGGTAATATATGAAATTAAGTGAGTAAGTAAGTATAATATCTATTCACTTTAATATGCTTTATTACTTAAGTAGATAGCATATGATTTACTTAAAAAAAATAAAATATGTAATTAATAATGTGTAAGTACTAACTAGGTAGGTATCGCACCTATAGTTACTTAGATAATTTATATGACAAGATATCTGATAATACTCAAAATATCTGGCTAGAGTATATAGGTAGGCTCATGTTATATGATATGTGTACAATATAATCAAGAAATGTGTTCTTATATACCTACTATCTAATCAGATTTAATATTATTTTAAAATTGATTAAAAATTTTGAACACACGTATACCAATATTGTTATTATTGTATATTGTCACTTGATTTTTCATTCTTTAATTCTCATTTTAAATTTCCTGAATTCCTTATTATTCAGTTTTTCAAAATTAATGTAGACATAATCTAAAAGTTTAAGAAGGTGTAGGTATCTAAAATGATAATAATAATATTAAAAAATTTTTTTTCAAGATATTTCATTATGATTGCTAGGTATCTCACAATTTAATTAAAAATACATATTTAAATGGAATGGGAGATATAATTCGGTAGGTCTACAGGTACCTACCAAACAACACCTTATTTTTGTCAAAATTTAATTCTATTTACTTACCGTAATCACACCATCTTTAATTGTATTACGATTTCGTATTACCATGCCAGGTTTTTTAATATAAATTTTTGGCATTTTTGCAACACCAAATTAAACCACCACACCAATACGGCAAATATAGCAAAATAGCAACCAAAAAAAAATGATTTTCTTCTTCTTTTTTTATCTTTTCCCTTTTTTTGTTAAGAATTTTTTTTTTTTTTTTCGTTTTGCCCTTTTGCAATAATAATGTAGAAATTTTCTTTTCTTAGTGAAAAATTATTACACTTGAATTTTTTATTTTATTATTTGGGATTCCTTACAAACTACTCAATATTTTTCGAATAATAATTTAATAAAAATTTATTGGAAATTTTTTTTTTCCCTTAATAAAATTAATATCATATGTGTACATATAATAATTTTTAAGTAAATGCTTTTAATAAGGGATTCGAATAGAAATTTTGATATTAAAACAAAATATTAACGAAAACTAGAGAAAAAATTTTATTATTTTTTAATGTAATTAGGGTTTTGAAAAATTTTTTTTTTGGTTTCGTTTTTGATTCCTTTTTAAATATTGATAAAATTCACTTTTGTTTTAATTTTATTTTAACCATTTTGTTTGGCTTTTTTTTTCTTTTTTTTTCTTTTCTTGTGTTGTATAGTAAAATTTAAATGGGAATTGAATTTTTTCTTTTTTTTTTGATTAAATCATAAAAATTAACAAAAAAAAAACCAAAATAATGCCACTTTATATGAAATTTTAATTATTTTAATTTTTTAACTGAATTCATTATTTATTTAATATAATTATTTTATTTTTATAATTAATATTATATTTTAAATAAGAAATGAAAAATTTTCGATTATTTTCTTGCACTTGCATTTTTTTTCTTCTTCTTTCTTTTGCCTGACTGATTTTTTTTTTTTTCTTCAACCGATTTTGACGTTTTTCATATATATATATTTTTTTTTTGACATATAAAATATATATGTTTGTGTATGATGTAAAGGTTTGTCAAATGGCGCAATCGAACAAATATTTCAAAAATCAAACAATAAAAAATGATTGAGTATGAATGTATGTTAATTGTCAGGGAAAAAAAAACAAAAACAAAATTAATTAAATATTTAGTGACATCTATAATTGATATAAGAATTAAATAGAGAATTTTTGTACGATGGTCACTCTTTCGCAAAATTTTATTACAATAGGTGACTTTAGGATTTTACGAGACAGAATTAAATTTTAATTCAAAATACTCGAATCACAATTGAAAATGAATATTTTCAATTATAGATATCACTAAATATTTAATTAATTTTGTTAATAATTATTAAATATGATTATGCCACTTAAAAGAAGCTTCAGTTATTTTATCAAAAAATAATAAACATTGCCTCGTGAACGTGTTCTCTTTTTAATTTCAAAAAATTGAACATTTTCACCTTATAAAAAAAATTTGCTTCTAAAATAATTTTAAAAACTATTTTAATCATTTCAAAAATTTATTTGAATGAGGTTAAATTGAATCCGAATAAAAAATATGTTTGAAAGTTGACATATATGTTCTCTAACATGAAAATTTAAATAAAAATTTTTATAAAAATTAATAAAAATAAAAAACTTTATAACGCAATAGGATAAGGAATAACTTGTTCCTTGCATTAAGAAGATGGAAATAAAATTAAAGAATTCGTTCCAAAATAAAAAAAAAATTTTGATAGCTTCCATTGGAAACACTATGTATTTTTAATGTCACAACCACGTGCTAAAACCAAACAAATATAAATGTCAAAATATATAAACCAAAACATTTTACTTTGGTACGAATGAAACACGACATCGATAAACTAAACCAAACTACCAAACACGAGTTGTTTTAAGTGAAGTGGTTAAGTTTTATTAAAAATTATATAAATAAAAATTAATTGAATAAAAGATTCATAATGAAATTAAAAAAGGAAAATCAACAAAAAACAAAAGCTGATGAGAATGATAAGAAAATAAAAAAAAATAAAAATGGCATCTCGAAAGAAGAGATTGAGAATAGTGGCGGAAATTTAAAGAAAGTAAAAAATAATATCCAAAAACAAACAAGTCCTGTAGGAACGGAAAAGGTAAAAAGTAAAAAAAAAATAAAGCAAGCTATTGAATCGTCTGAAGCAATTAAAGATGCTAAAATGAAAAAACTAGAAAAAGCCGAATCACTTGCTAAAATCAAGAACCCAACTAACGAATCAAAAAAGGGGAAAGAAAATTCTGCTCTAAAATCTAGTATGTCGAGTAGTGAATTATTACTCAAATTGAATTCGGTATCTGCAGATAAAACTGATTCAAAAGAAAAAAAAACTGTTGAAGAAAATAACGAAAATAATGTGAAAATAGATACCAAAAAAAAATCTTCCTCAGAAAAGATGTCAAAAAAATCTAAAGATAACATTGATTCAAAAGAAAAAAAATCTCTTGAAGAAAATAATGCGAAAATAGATACCAAAAAATCGCAAAAATCTTCCTTAGAAAAAATGTCCAAAAAATCTAAAGATAAAAATAACCCTGAAAAGAAGAAGATAAAATTTGGTAAGGTAACGAAAGTAAAAAAAGTGAAGGATAAGAATGAGAAGACCAAATTGAAATTAAGTCAAAGTGTGGGTCCTTCTTTAGCAGAAGCTCCAAAATTTGATTTAGAAAATTTCAATGCGATATTAAATGAGGAAAATATTAAAAAATCTGTAAAAGCATTAAAGAAACTAGTTAAAAAGGAAACTGAAGAAATGAAAAATGCAATATTTAAAGATTATCGTTACATTATTAATTTTTGTTTGTTTAAGATTCCAAGTGCACCTAAACGACATGTTAAATTGTAATAATTTTTTTTTTATGAAAAAAGCCGAAAAATAAAAAAATTTTTTAATTTTAGAAATATAAAAAATTCGTTGGTTGGTCCTGATGATGATGTATTGTTTATTGTAAAAGATTTACAAAGAGGATTGAAAGTCGATTATGAACCAACAGTTCATCATTATGAAGACATTCTCCGTGAAAAAGGTATTGAAGGTATCAAAGCTATTATGCCCTTTAATCAACTTAAAAAGGAATACAACAGTTATGAAATGAAGAGAAAACTTGCTAATCTATATGATTATTTTATTTGTGATGGACGTATTGCAGGGCATATATTTGGATTTTTGGGAAATGTAATTCTTTTTTTTTTTATATAGCCAATTATCATAACACATTTTTTATTTAAATAATAATTTATTTTAGGCCTTTTCATCAAAACAAAGGTGTACTATATTCTCTGTACGTACAGAGAATTTAAATCATTTAAAAAAAGAAATTCATGTTGCTTTGCATAAAACTAGCTTTAGACAAGGCTCCAAAGGAGATAACATATCGATTATTGTAGGGAATCATAATAATTCATCAGAGCAAGTAACTGAAAATATCCTTGAGATTTTGAAACAATTGAAAGAAAAACTACCTGGTAGTTATCCTAATATAAGAAATGTAACATTAAAAGTTAATATTAAAGGTACTTCATCTGTACCATTATATATAAATATGGGAAAACCACTTAAAGGTACACCATATATTATTGGTTTGAAAGAGCAAAAGCTGAATAAAATGAAAGAAAAAGCTGAAGGCATTTTAAATAAATTCGCAATTACAAATGATGGCCATGTTCAAAAACTAACACCAGAAGAAATCGAAACACGAAAACGAAAGCTGCAAGAAAATAATGAAGAAAAAACTAAAAAGAGTAAAAAATCAAAAAAAGCAAAATCAGAAAAATCGAAAGAAGATTTGAATGGAAAATCAAAGGATATTAAAAAGAAAAAAGGAAAGGTTGAATCAGAGCAAAATGATTCAGATAGTGAAAATGATCCAGACTATGAACCTGCAGAAATAAATGAAGATGATAACACGGAAAACGATGACAGTGACGTTGATGATAGTGATGTTGCTGATAATGATGCTCTGGATAGTGATTAAAAATGTGAATTATTTCAAAAAAAAAATTTAAATAAAAAATAATGTTGAAAATTTAGATTAGGATTTTCTTTAATTTTTTTCATATAACTTATTCTAAGACTTAAGACTAATTTTAACAAACTATCATTTCTTATTTTTTTGGGCGACCAACACCTTTTTTGACACCCATTACTTTATCCTTATTATTTTTACCTGATAACAATGGATGGGTTTCATCTAAAGGAGCATTTGGCAGCATTATATCGTACTGATTCGTCAGCTTACGCTTTTTTGTGGGTGGTCCATTGTTGGCATCTTTTGTCGTAGTGGCAACCGCAACATTTTGTAAACTCATCAAATTTGATGAATCATTATCTTTTCCAATGTCATCTTGCGTTTGCCAGCCATCTTCAGGATCTTCAACTTCTGGCGCCATTGGTAAAAATTGCAAAGCACTTTCATCTTCAGCATCTTCATCTGAACTGCAAAACGCAGCTACTGGTTCGACTTTCAAAACATCAACCTCAATTTCTTCATCTTGTTTTGCATCTGCATTTAAATCAACTGATCGGTCTTCATCCTCTAAATCAAATTCAGATTCTCTTTCTTCATACTCGACATTTTCATCTAATTCTTTAAAATCTGGTGCAAATGCTGACCAATTTTCTACTTGATTTTGTGCCCATATAGAAACTAAACCGGAACTAATACTTGCAATTATCGGACGAACCGGATGCCATACAACATCTAATAATAATTCACCTTTTGTACCATGTAAAATTTTCACCAGATTACCAATGCTTTTTTCCCAAACATAAAGTGCATGCTGTCGTGCACTCCCAGCGCAAATATATTCTCCGTCACCTGAAAAACAGCATTTCTTCCATGTTGTTTTATTAACTAAATCTTGTAATTTTTGTATTGGCTCCGGTTCTCCATCTCTACCTAATGCTATTACTTCTTGAGAATCATAAACCCTTATAACTCGATCAGATGTATTGACTAGAAAAGCTTCACCCCTTCTGGCGAATTCAATACTTTTTACAGCAGTTGCACTTGATGTACCAACTATTATACGAAAACTTGCTACTATTTTTAAAGTTTCAACTTCTAATACTAAAATTCTTCCTTTAGCATTTCCGGTAAAAATATGTTTTCCGCGACGATCAAATGAGGCTACTATATTTAAATCACCATCATTATCTAATGGCAAACATTTATGTGAATCACCAATTTTTACTAAAACAGCAGCATAACGCATTGGACATACCAAAAATCTTAATGAATTTCTTGGATCATATTGCACTTTTAAAATTGGTGAAGGAAAGCGAAATTTATGATCTAGATCTCCACTTAAAACATCCCATACACAAACATTATTATCTGTAGAAGCTGATAAAAGTTTATGTCCATTACGAGTCCAACTTAAACTACAAACTGGATGAACATGAGCTGATATTATTTTAGCAATTCCTCTTGTTAAAAAATCCCATATTACAATGCGACCATCATTACATCCAACAGCTAAAAGTGTACCATGTTTATTGAAGGCACATGTTACTGCAAGCGATATACAACTAATATATATAGAAGAAAAAATGTACATCAGTTAGAATAAGTTAAAATTTCCGGATAACTAATAATATTTTCTTACTCCAAAGATCCATCAAATTCTTCCGGATAATTTTGCCCAAATGATTCTAATAATTCTAAATTCATGATTTAACCCTGTTCAATTGACGAATTTCTTTAATTTTTTTTAATTTAAAGAAAATATGATCATTTGTATTTTTTGAGACCGATAACGAAAGTTCAATGTATTAAAAACATAAACAAATTGAAGCAAAACAAAATGCCAAGTAAAGTTGTTTTGACAGCCGAAACGACAATTTATCGTTAGCGATAAAAATATTTGATATTTTTTATACATATGTAAATACAATAAGGGCGAATAGAAAGACGGCGATTATTACGTACGACGATTTGCAATTTCAAGCTTCTGCTTCTTTATAAAACATTGAAAGCAATGTAATAAAATTGTAATAAAAATGAATTTTTTTAAAGCTATCAGCATATTAGACAGTTTCTAGTTTTTCGTTACAGCAGTTATGTTATATAAGAATGTGTTTTCATCATAAATTTGAGTTTTATTAATGACAGTAACACAATTTGTGATACTAATTTCTAATTGAATAATTACTACCATTCGTATACGAATCCGATTTTACAGTTGATCATTACCTATGTTTACACAACGACTTTTGCATTAATATGTTTTTGGCAAGTGGAAAGAAACGTATATCAAGTCAACTATTCATGTAAAAGTCGTCGTGTAAACACAATTAATCATGATTTTTCAAAATCTGCTACACAACGTTAATTGAACAGTTTGGTTTAGTTTTTTTAGGACATCTCGATCTAATTAAAATAAAAAGTGATAAGAAATTTAAATCACCTGTGTTTAAAAACAGTCCGTTCAATATGTGCAATAACCAATGGGACTTGCTTGAACTAAAATGTCTTCTTGCATAATAACAATTTTAAATGTTCACGAAAGAACCCATAGCTTAGGTGTAAGACATTAGGGAAAGTATGTAAGTAAAAAGGTATTAAATTTTTATTACATGTTAATTAATTTCAATTTGATTAAATAATTTAAAAGAATAAGGCTAATTTCAAAATAGGCACATTTCAATTTCTATTTTATTTAGATTTTGATTGTTTCTTGAATCTCTTTTTAAGGCAAATATTTCGTAATTCAGAATCAAGTTCAAATTCATCAATTTGTGTATGTTGTGATACTAATTGTTTTTGTAATACAATTGGAACTTTTGGTGTTCTTAATTCAATTTCAATTAAATGTTGTTTATCTTTACATTTATTCTTTTTTCCCAATTTAAATAAAAATACATCACCATCTTCATCAATACATTTCTTACGACATATTTCAATTCCATCTTTTCTTGTTTTCCTATTAATATTCGTTAAATAATTATCATCAATTTCATCTGGTTGAACTTGTATGCAACGGCAAGTATTTTTAGGACAACGTTTACGATATTTATCTATTTTATTTGAATTGCAATATCCATTTGTTGAAGTCATTGATAGCTCGAAATTAGTATTTTCTTGATATAAATCATTAGCAGCATATTTTAAATTTCCACGTATTTTAGGTAAACCTTTTCGATTAATAAAAGATCCACCAGTTTGAGAACGTATTTGATTATTTAGAAATCGACTTTGTTGAAATTCCGGATCATTGATGAACTGAAATTTTAAGAAGATGCATTATGATAAAACTGAATTAAGGTGTAACATGATTTTATATTATCGATAAATTTATGCTTACATGTCGGTGACTTTTACAATTATTTTCACTTTCATAATCACTATCTTCAACATTAACTTGAAAAGCATTTTTTAAGACACGTATTGATAAACCGCTACCATTCATATCAGCTTCAAATTCATCATATCCATAAGGCTTATTTTTAAGACATTTACCACCTCCTGCGAATTTCCTGTCTTTATTTAAAATAATTTCATTTTCTGAACTATCATCTCTGAATTCAGTATCAGTATCATCTGCTCCAGCACTTAATCTTGTTGGAATATCATCTTAAAATATTGAAAATTTAGATTGAAATAAATTTTATATGTGCTTTTTGAATAAAAATTTTTGAAAAATAATGAAATTTTATTCTTATTTCATTTTAGTGTAACGTTTCAAATAAGGTTAACAATATCAAAAGTGGGATTCATGATTACTAAAGTGAAAGAAGGACACATCTGGAATTGAAAAAGCTTTGTAAATATTTAAAAAAATGAAATGCTTTACTTGGATACTAGATAAAAAAACAATTTTCAATAATTAGTTTTTCGATTACATTTGCTTTTTAAATTTAAAGTTACTAAAATTTTGACGATATTACTGAAAAATTCAATCTACTAAAATTTACATATAATTATTTCAATTAACTAAAAATTCATTAGACGATGAATTAACATTTAATTTAATTATGACATTGCCCATATCCTTTAATCATCTGGATTAATTTCTTTCCTGTTACAGCTGCTCTCATTAATAATTTCTTTGATCAATTTTTTGATCTTCAATTCCTCTATTATCAGAAATATGAAAGTAAAATGAAAAATAAAATATTCTTTAATTAATTTTTGAATTTAAAACATAAACAATAAAAGTTATTTTATTTAAATTTAAATTTTATTTTTGATCAGAACTTTAAATAAGTTTTTAGTTAAGATTTGTATTTTAACCAAAAATTAATAAAAGAAATTTTTTATTATTCATTTCTGATTTCTGAAAATCAGACTTTCAAAATTTCCTTGAAGAAGTTGGTAATTACTAGTTTCATTGTAGGAAAGTGGAGCAGATATTAAAGTTTTGGTCTTGTGTTTTTGAAATATTGTAAATTTTTATAAATTTATAAAGTTTCATTTTTATATAAATTTTACTCACCTTTATCACAATTATTCTCAATTTTATTTTGAAAGTATTCCTCTTTCGGAATACAATGTGATTTCATTTTATAAAAATATGGTATTTTAGTTTGATTTAAATTCGAAGTAATATTTTCACCACCACGTACACGATTTAATACATTGGTTTCATCATCACTTAATGATGTTATTGCACATCCTTTTTTAAATGGAAATGGTGATACTATTGTTGGACCCATACATGATAAACGTATTATTATAACCATATTACCAGTTTGTTTACCTTGTAAATCAAATAATGATAATAATTTTTTTTCAATTTCTGAACTTGGACAATATTCTTCTTGTTTTATTATTTCATTATTTATTGATTTCTTTTCTAATATTGGATTATTTTGTATAAATTCATTTGTAACACGATCAAATATATTTTTTAATGGAATTTCTGTTATACCCAATAAAAATTTACATTTTTCAATTTTTTTCTTATAAACATGAATATGTAACTTATCATTATCATTTATTTGACTATCTAAACCGAATAAACAACATTTACCACCTTTTGATGAATTATGTTCGGGATCAGTAGTAATACAACCACCAAAATCACGATCACATATTTGTACAAAAACGCTTGAACGAAATGTTAATTCAACACATGTTGGATATTCTTCTGGTGCACATTCATTTGGATGTGTTATTAATAGATCATCAATAACAAATTCAAACATATACAAGAAATTTTGATCCATTTTATTAAGAATTGGTTGATTGAGATATGACGATTCGTAAAATTGTTGGCTTTTTTAGTCGTTTCTATTAAATATTTTTGAACTTGTTTATAATTCTTTTTATTCGCAATAAAATTTGCTGTATTTTATTTATAAAAAATAAAATTTTGCTTCAAAATAAAAATATTAAAAATTAAATTTTTTGATTTAATTGTAAAATTTGGATTGTATATTGAAAATAATTTTTTAAAAGTTACAAAATTATTAAAATATTTTATGATTTATAAATCTATGTTAAGGATGTTTGAAATTTACTAATTCACTAATTAATACCATATTTTTTATTCTAATATAAAATACTTTGTTTGAAAAATTGTGCAATATTTTGAGAATTTTGAGAATTTCAACTAACATTATATTGGCTGAGTTACATTTTGCGTTTTTCGTAATCGTGGAGATTTCGATGTTTATGGAGCATAATAGAACTGAGCCGATAGTTAGTGGAATTACTATAAAAATATTCCAGTGTTTAAAGGAATTGTTGAATATGACTTGCTTGAATAGTAAGTAGGTGCTATGAGTAAATAAACATACATTTTTTATATTTTTAAAAGCTAGATCATATTCATCTATTAAGAATAAATTAAAAGTTATATAGAATTTACATTATGAACTTTTATTAAGAAGGGAACAAATTTAGAAAATTATACTCAAACAAATCAACATCAACTAGATTCAGTTGATTATTTTGCAGTAATTTAATTGATAATTTTTAAAATATAATACCTATAACCTATTTAATAATTCTCATTATTAATATATTTAACAAAATGTGTTTATGCATTATGAAAGGATCACGTTAAAAATTTTTTTATGATATGAAAAATCATAGCATATTAATATACATAGGGAGCATATCGATAATGTCCTATCTCTTAATAATTACATATATGTCACATATGTCTAACCCACTTCCCGTTATTTATAAAAAAAAAAAAATTAATAATATTTCCTACCGTTTCAAAATTATAAGATAACAGAATTTTGTAATGGAAGTTAAAAGATTCGATTTTTTTTTCTACTTTATTCAACTTTTATAATAAATATAAAAATTCATTCATATAATATAAAAAAAAATTTTTATAATATGTCAGGGGTAGTACAACTGTAATTGACACCTTATTTTTTGTTCAGTATAATGGCACCAAAATTGCAATAGGTATTATATTAATATGCAATTCAACTGATGAAGTGTAATTGCTGCATTGTACGTGCATAGAATTTTGAAGTCGCGGTTTTATTAATGCTGGGTTCAGCTGATGAAATGTAATTGCATTGTGCGTGAATGGAATTTTGAAGTTACGGTTTTATTAATGCTGGATTAATAATAGTTTATAGTTTACAGACTATTAGTATTAATAATAATATTACAATTTGATGTGTTTTTTTCTATTTTAGGGTGCAGAGGAAAATTACAAGGGAAAATCGATGAAAAAGCTGAAACTGGAAAATGAGCATATTCTTGATTTCAAAATTGCAGTAACACTAACATTAGTAAGCTTACAAGTTTTAATTAATGAATTGTATAACAATACACTTTTATTGCATTTTTTAAATCAGGGTATGTCACAAATTCGCTATACATATTTGACAAATTTGAAATTTGAAATAGGTTTCCGATCCCCGAAATGAAGATAAAATTGTAATTTTAATTTTTTTATTGAAAGAAAATTTAATACATATACATATATAATATTAATAATAGTGATTGAAATACCGATTTCTTATCGATATCAGTGGTTTTTTTTTATTTTAATGGTAGAACATCAATACAACTTATAATTAGTATGACAATTGATAAAAATATTTTTTTTTGTATAAAAAATCCATATTGTTTGTTTGTTAATTTTTAGCTTTTATATTGTTGTATTATTTTTATCGATAAGATATTTAATACATTTTTCAATAAATACATAAAAAAATATATATTTTTTTTTTTGAATATAATAGAGTACTTTAAGTTAATTAACAAAAAATTTTATTTCATTTACTAGTTAAATTTTAACTGGCGTCGTGATCGTTTGAAAATAAATCGAGAAAAAAGTATTCGATAATAAAAAATCGTAGTGATTGAAGCTTATCTATTAACGGTATAGAAAAATATATGATAATTTCTCTTCACTCTCTTTTTCTCTTCAAATTGTTAAATACGTGCGTTAAAGAGACAAGGGGGAAACCCCAATTTTGGTACAAAAGTGAATTTTTAACGAATTTAAAATGTAAATTAAAATTATCTTTTATTTTCATCATCTTATCTAATGGTATAATTGATAAAATATTCTAAATATTTTCAAAATTCTTTAGAATATTTTAGAATGATAAAAGTATATTTGTTAATATTTGAAATAAATTTGTGTATAACAGTTTTAAAATCAATTATTAGCACTCTATTTAGTATTTGTGGAAAAAAAAATAATAAAAAATAATTATTAAGATTACTTAGAAAAGATATTAAAATATTAAAAATAAATTAAATAACAATTATAATACAATTTTATTACAAAAATCATAAATTTGTAATATTTGTATAACAGTTTAATTAAAGAGTGTAATATAAAGTACATAAAAATTAGAAATATATTGCATCATAATTGAATAGTTAAAAATTATGAATGTGTATAAAAGTTATATAACATATTTACAAGAAAAATAAATATTCAACATTTGTATAACAGTTAGAATATTTTCTTTTTATACACAATTATTGAATGACAATTAAAAAGTGTGATATAAATATAAAATAAAATTTTTGTATATTAAAATTAGTTATACATTTAATTTTAAAATTAATTTAAAAAAAAAATAAAATTTTAAATTATTAAAATAAAAAACTTTTATAACAATTTTATTTATTTTTTATATTTTAATAAAATTTTTTAAAATTAATTATTTAATTATAATATTTTCAATATTTTTTTTTAATCTTTCTATATTATAATCAAATATAATTAAGTATATATTGTGAATTTTAATCCAAGATAACTTAATAATATCGATAAATACCAGTGTATTTTATAATAAAATTGAACAAAAAAAACAACAACAATTGAACCTAGATAAGATGTACTTGGGTTAGAGGTGAAAATTACTATATATGAAATTCTGAAAATTAAAAATTAATATATAAAATAAAATTAATATGTCGAATTCAAAATTTATTAAAGTTGAATAACAATTAGTGTGAAAACTGAGTATAAAATTTAATAAATTAAATGTAAAATATATAAAAAAAATTTTTTAATATAAACAAGTATATTATAATACATACATGTTATATACACAAACAAAATTATATTGATAATTAATATTGATTATATTGTCATGCGATTGACAATCAATAAGTGGCGTTTTAGTTAAACATATGTACTAATATACTTATCAAAAATAAATATACTTATTCGTGTATGATATGTTACATTAAAAATATAAAAATATTATTATATTATTAACCCATTAATAGGAAGTGTTACTTTTTGTACGTTTTTTTTAAATATACTCAGTCATATATTTTAATAGACAATATTGGTAGATACATGCGTACACACATACGAAGCTTTCCTTACATAACTCTCAAAATAATGAGTTCTCAAAAAAAAATAGCTCATTCACATGTCATCGAACTAGTGTAGTTTAAGTTAGTTTTTGTTGTTGTATAACAGAATTTCCACGCAAAAAAACCTTTTATTATTAAGCTACATGCAGCTAAGGAACAAATTAAGTATGATAATTTAATAATAATTATTAATCATTCACAACCTCTTGTTATAACAATAGTGAATAAAATTGTTAGTAATCGCGAATATATTATAGGAAACAAATGGGTTAATTTCTTTTTAATTGTGAAAAAGAAAAAAAAAATTCAAGTTGAAAATATAATTAATAACAAGTTTGTATAACAGTTTTAATTATTTGGGGATAGTTGGAATTTGGAAATAGCTATGTATATAGTTTATGAATTAGAATATAATTTGCTGAAACCTTGTTATATAGCAGTAAAAACTGACATATAAATTAAAATACAAAAGATTTGGCGTTTATTTTTTCTATATAAAATTGTTAAGTCATCTACCGGAATAAATGTGCGTAATTTTCTTAATTACAATATTGCTCCTATATTTTTAATGATTTTCATTCATTATAATATTTGATCCAAAATAAATACGTACTAATCTTAGTTTAAGCTTCCATTAACAGTTTTTTTTTTAGAAAATTAATTTACATTTTTTTTTGTTTAAAATTAACTTTTTATCGTTAATTTAGTGGATTAAGTAAGATTTTGTGATAATTTTATACTTGTTTTATAAATTTAGATGTCTATAAATTGTTGTTTATGATTAATTATAGTAAATAAGTAGAGCTTATTGTTAAAGAAAAAATTTGCAATTTATTTCTTACAGGGCCAAAAAATAGTCGAATTTTTTAAATTTTTGTTGTAAAGGACATATAGAACGATAGTAAATTTTAAAGTTTGTAGGCGAAATAAAAACTACTTTTTATCATTTTATCTAATTTATATTAAATATGAGAGAAAATTGCATTTTATAACAATTTTATTAAGTTTTGTTTAAAGTGTGCTTAGAAATTATAACACTTGTTTCTTTTTTAAAAGCAAAGAAAGTCGAGTTTGAGTACCAAACATGCAATATTTACGCATGTTTATTATTTATTTTTCTTATCAGTTTTAATAGGTTTTCAAGATTTCATATATGAGATAGCAAATTGATTGAGAGATTAAAATATTAAATATAGATTTCACTAGAAAATTTTTAATTAATATAATGCTATTAAAAAAAAAATTTTTCATTTAAAGAACCTAGTTTTAAAAGTGTGTTGTAAAATAAATGACAAATTTTCTGGAAAAATTTATATTAATATTAACTTTTTTTTTTTAAATTAAAATTAGGCAATATTTATTTAAGAAAATATTGTGGTTGTAATCATTTTTCGTATAGAAAATAAATGTCAAAATTCTGATATTTCAATAAAATTTTTACTTCAGTATAACAGAATTTTCATATAAAAAAATGCATTAATTTACGTAGTACTTCATAACTATTCCACAATAATATGGCCTTGTCATATAAATGGGACGTATATAATATATAATTTTCACTGGTATTAAAAACTTTTATTTTCATTTTAAGTGCACAAATAAGTATATTTAATGACGGTATTCCCCATACGCATATATGTACATACTCGTATATTATATATTTTCTCTTAATATTTTTATTATGTAGAATTTTAAATTTTTCTAAAGAAGCCTATCTGAAATTATAACAAATATTAACTAAAAATACAAGATATCTGCATAACTATTATACAAATATAATTTGTTATATATTGTCTATATACTTACTATACTCATAAATTCTAAAAACTTATTTTTAATTTATTGCTTTCCCTTTAGTGACAACAATTGTATGACATTATAAAATTATGTTTCTGAGAATTTGAGAAGCGTAAATTATGTTAAAATATTTATTTTGTTTAAGATTTTTTTGTTTTATATTTTTTACAAAATTACTAGTTATTATTTTGTCATCAATATTTATAGAAACTTTGATGCATATAATATGATATACCATAACTTATGATATTCCTTGATTTCAAAATTGCAATAGTTCTGTACACAATTTTACCATTTACAATTACGATCTTAATGCACTTTTATTTACAGTTATTAGTACACTATAATTGCAGCTATGCCGAAAAGGTCGAAAATAAGGTCTGAAAACTAAAAGAATCTCCTGGGTAAGAAATTACAGCGCAAATTTATCTTCAAAATTCTCCCCCTCAAATTTAAACATCATTGAATTGTGACCCGCGCCTATAATGCACTGTGTGGTGGTCGGCGGGTATATTAACAAACGGAATCTTTCTAATGCCAAGTCACCTCAAAGAGCATTTTGACCTTACTATGTCATGCGAGGGACTGGACTAGTGATTTACTCTTTCCTTAGCTACTCGTAAGACCAAAAATGTATAAAGACAAAAAATAACAAGACTATAGGAAATCACTGTCGCAGTACGAGAACGAACTGATAAAATGAAAAAGGATTAAATCAATAAGGGGCGAAAACCTTCCGAGATGCAGGTGGAGGAGGAGCAAGCCTTCTTATTTGCCGTCTCTGGAACAACATGGAAGCCTAGATGATTTAAAGAGGCGGCGACTCAGTGGAGAAATATCACCTACTGGAGTACGAGCAAGTCAGAAAACTGATGATCGCTGAAAGAAGGAATATAAGGAAGAAAACACGCCATACCCTTAATCAAGATGAGTTCTCCACAAGCTATGTAGCGGATACGAAATTAGTGAAACTGGTAGTTTTGCCGAGAAAATAATAGCTTCAGCTGTTCTGGCAAAAATCTATAGATTTGATGCGAACACTGGGTAAACAAAAGAAATGCCAATTAGAGTTGGACATAAGGCGAAATAATAAGGCGAATTAATAAGGCGAAATATTAACTTAATTTTACTTTGTTTTGAAGTATGCTAAAAAACTAAAAATTTTTCAATCATAGAGTTTATACTAAGAATATTTACATACACCTCTACATCTACAGTACATTCAAAAGAAAAAAAAACGCTTTCTCTTATCAATCTTATCAGTGTATCAATATTATGGTCTGATAACAAAAAATACTAATCAATATTATAAAATAAGTAGAGAAAAAAAAGTTTCCCACTTGTTAAGAAAACAATAACACCATTAAAACCTATTAAAGTTTCTGTTGTCGGGACATTGATTCAATAATTTATTGTTATTGTTAAAATATAAAAAGGCAATTCAAATAAATAAAAAGAAAAAAAAAATATAACAAAATTGAAAAGAAATTTAATTCAAAAAGCGATACTCTGTGTATTAATAAATATTTTATAAACCAATTTGTACTGTTATCAATACGAGTATAACATTTTAGTAAATTGTTGTCACATTATTTATGATTCATCTTGAAAATATTATACTGTGGTATAACACTTATTGTTTTTATTAATTTTTTCTACGTACATACATAGTATTTTTTTCATTTTTATTGATTAGAAAAGCCGGTAGGTGTACAGATTCAATAAAAAAAAAAATTACTTTCTTGATATCAGATTTTGATTTTTTTTTTTAAATTTTACACTGATTTATTATTATAACAAAAATATTGTCTGTAATTAAAAGTTTAAAATTATGGATGTCGCAGCTGTTTAATTATAAGTTCCACCTGGCGTGTAATAGTATAAAATTTTGGTCTGCAAAGAAACGTTTGGTAGTAATAGATAATTTAAACTTGTAGCGTTAAGCTTGTATAACAGAATTTATTCCATTAATAAAATATTCCGATGTGCCTGATCATATCTTGCGACAATATTACAAAAATGTTATACTAATGTACTCTTTTATTAAAATGTGTACATATATGTACCTGCATTATAATATATTACGCACACACATGTTATAATGTCAATAATGACATTTTCGTTAAACTTGAAATTATAAAAAAAGCAAATAAAAATTTATAATGTTTTTCAATTAATTAATAAATTGATAAAATTAAAAACATTTATTGCAGTTTTTGAAAATATTTATAAAGTGCAATCAATTTTCAGAAAACAAAAAAAAAACTCAAACAACGAACAATGTGAAAGCTCTGTTAGTGTTTATTTAAAATATTTAAATTTAAATAAATAAAAAGAATTTGACCTTCGGCTGTGATTTCACCAGATAGTAGAATTGAAGATAGTCTTGTTAATCCTTTAATTTTTAACAAATAAAAATTTTATATATACAAACTTATAAAATCTTATATAAACACAAAAGTATTATAGTAAATTTCCATTGAAAATGATGGCATACTCAAATATGTTATGATGTAATTTAATGGTTTGCATTAGGATTATTTCAATTCATATGAAAGTTTTGTATGTAAAGTGTAATCCTAACATTTATTAATTGTAATGTTGAAAAGTTTTATCATAATATACAACGGAAATACTCAAAGGTTGTAGACATTTACATTGAAATAATGTGCACGTGCATAAAATGCATACACACAATTATAAATTCAGTATTAAGCATTAGGTTTTACACATTTTTAAAAAAAAATAATTTAATAAATAAAAATATATATTAAAAATTATTAAAAATATTTATTTGTTGTTAAAATAGCTAAATTTATAAAGCTAATACTGCCGTATTTGTTAGTTGAACTGTGAAAATTGATTACAAATTTAAATTTTCAAATATTTATTCCTCAATGGATATAATTTAATGTTTAATCCGCAAAAGTTGAGTAGCGTGCATGTCTAACGTTACTCAGAATTCATTGCTTTGTCATATATAAGCTGAATTCACAATATTATACAATTATAGTTTGGCATACTCACAATTTGTAAAATGTCAATTTCCATTCCGTATACAAAATTTTGAGTTCGGCTCAAATATGACGAAGTTATGAATTCAATTTAAGAGTAGGCGCAACAAAAATTAATTATTATGAATTATAACTATGATAAGAATTATTAAATAATTATAATTTCGTTTTAGATATACTATAAATTAATATTACACCAATTAAAATGATATGTTGTATTTAAGTGTTCCAACATTTTGTGATTAATTTAAATACAATTTATTAGAAAAGTGCAATAAATATTTAATATATGTACTTAAGTAAACATAATAATAAAATGATAATAATGGACAATATATAATAAATATTATATGAAAAAATAAATTTTATTTTATAAATTTTTTAATTATTTATTTAATTTACAACAATAATATAAATTTAAAATGACTATCGTAAAAACTTTATGAAATTTTTATGCAATAATACATTATTTATTTTGATTTTCAATTATTATTACTATAAATTGCAATTATTTATTGAATTTATATGTACATGTTAAATGCAACGTAGAATATAATAAGTTTTATTAGGATTATGGATCAAGTAATACGCCGGCAATCAGCGCATATACAAAGGACATTAAATAATAGTAATAAAAGTGATAGAATTTTTTACGATAAAAAATGGGAATGGGGATTTTTAAGGGTAAGTTAAATAATTATATAGTTAAGGTAAAGTTATATTACATATAATAATATAGAAAGATATATGACTATATTGGATATTTATAGGCGTGCGTTCATAAAGACAATTAGGCGAAATTTAATGTTTAAATTGCATTTTATTTCTTGAAAAATTTTCTATTTACATTTAAATTCGATAATAATGCATTTTTTAAAGTTTGATATTAAAAATAATGCCGGATATTAAATAAATTTTATTTATTTGACAATAAGAAAATTGACAATCAATTTTGTTACACTTCAATAAAATATAATAAATTGTGTGTGAAATCGAAATCAATTGTCATGGAAAATCGATTGACTGGAATTTTTAAATTATTAAGTACATATTATATAAATTCTTTTAATAGAGTCAAGTGACATAAAGTCAAAACTCTATCGGTTAAATTTACAACACAATTCAGAAATTTTAGTACTGTAAAACAACTATAAGTACATACTATAATATTTGTGCATTTTGCTTTAAGCGCTCTGACAGTTTTATTCGTGAAATTAAATAACTAACGCTTGGAATTAAACAATAAAAATATATTAAAAAATAAATGTGTAAATTTAGTTCCTAGTATTTTTATTTTACTTTTCATTTTTATATGACACATTAATTTTATAATTCATTATAAATTGAATATTTTATATTTTTATAGAAACAATGTTTCAATTTAGAATTGGAGCCGTTTTATCAAACATATATGCAAAGATTACAAAGAAGTTACTTGTCAATATTTATTGTTTTACAATTTGTAGTTGGAGGTGCACATTCAATTGTATTAGTGTCGGTAGTAGATGTAAGTTTTATCCATTAAATTTCTTAAATTATTACTAAAATGCTTAAATTTAATAATAATTTCAATTAATTTTAGGATAAAGAACGAATATTTCCCGAAATTTTAATATATGTTGGAGCAATATTAGCAGTATGGGCATCATTATTTATAACATTTAAAGAAGATTATATTAGACGTAAACCATCAGCAACTTATATTGCATCATTTGTGGCTGTATTAGTAATGGTTGTAGCAGGTTAGCCAAACTTCTTAATATTTTCAATTTCATTCTTTTATTATTCAATATTTTACCTTTTCTTTTAGATTTATTAATACCATTATATCATTCATTAGTTGATTTTCCGAAACCAGAATTACGTCCAGCATATGCTGGTTTTGTTTTATATGCAATATATATATTTATACCGTTAAGTGAAAATTTACATGCATTAATATTTGGTTTGGCAACGACTGCTGTTTATATTTTAACATTTGCTATGATCACATACCGTTTAGATGATCAATCAGAGATTATAACTAAGACTCTTACTGATGGCCTATTTTTATTATGTGTTAATGCATTTGGTATGTATTTTCGTTTAATGAAAGAAATTGCAATACGTACAGCATTTTTGGATCGTAGAGAATGTGTTGAAGAAAATTTATTATTAAGATATGCAAGGGATCAAGAAGTTAGTATACAAAAATTTTGAAAATTATATTGTATATGAAAAAGTTACTTACATTTTTTGTAGAAAAATCTGCTATTAAGCATAATACCATCAAATTTAGCAAATGATTTGGAAAGAGATTTAAGAGAACGTATTGAATTAATTAAAACAGAAAATATTGAAAGAGATAAAGAAAAGGATAATAATAAGTAATGGAATTTTTAAAAATTTTGATTGATTCAATTCGAACTTTTCACATTGATATTGAAAATTTTTTCTGATTATTGCAGACTATCAAGGCTAAGCAACAGAGACACTCGTAAAGTATCAGTAAAACCACGTTTTTGGCGTCCAGATACAGCGTATGTACATCATATTCGATTTTTAAAATTACAATTTTTAAATTATTTGTAAATAAAATTAATATTTTTTAGGAAACTATTTGTAAATGAACATCATGATGTTACAATATTATATGCTGATGTTGTAAATTATACATATTTAACAACAACTTTAGATGTAAAGAATTTAGTTGAAACATTACATGAATTATTTGTAAAATTTGATCAAGCATCTGAGGTATTATAAATTAAATTAATATTAATAGTTATTGCATTAAGGTTTAGAAATTGAAGAGCACTCAATTTTTTTAAATAATGTTCTTTGTACATATACAAATTTTCTAAAAATGAAATATTTATAGGATTATACGATAGCATTTTTAAAATAACTTATCATTAAGTCTTTACTAAACTACCACATATTATTAGAAATAAATCTTAAATCATTAAAATTGTATTATTTAAGCTATTTACGTTAAATTATTTTTTAGGAATACAATTGTTTACGTATAAAATTTTTGGGAGATTGTTATTATTGTGTGTCAGGTATACCACAGAAAAATGATCATCATGCTAAAAGTTGTGTTGATTTAGGCCTTCGAATGATTCGCGATATCAGAGAAGTTAGGTTAGATTTATACTTTTAAGTATTTTAGTTTATAATTTCGACTTCAACTTATTTTATTTTTATTATTTTTTCTAGAACAAATCGTAATTTAGATATTGACATGAGAATTGGTGTACATTCAGGTCATTGTCTATCAGGCGTAATTGGTGCATGTAAATGGCAATATGATGTTTGGTCAAAAGATGTTGATATTGCAAATCGTTTAGAATCAACTGGAAAAGCAGGGTAAAATTTTATATGATTTTAATTTGTTAATTATAAATTGAATAGAAGTTTTCTTTTTTTTTAGGAGAGTACATGTTAGTAGACAGACATTAGAATTACTTGAAGGATTTTATCCATATGAAATGGGTACTGAAGAAGCTAAAAAAGATGAAGTGTTAAGAAGAAGTAATATTGAAACATTTTTAATTAAACAACCGAAAAAAGTATTTTAAACACATCGTTATCTTATATTATTTTTGTAAAATAAGTTAAAGTAGTAAAAATTAAATTAATTTTAAATATTTTCAGTTTTATATTTCAGATGAGCATCCAAGACAATCAGTTGGTGTTAGAAGAAAACTCGAAAGTCATTCTAGAGTAAGTATGAAATAAATGAAATTATCCTACAAAATAGGCTTATGCCCGAAATTTTATTTAATCCGACAATGGTATTATTAAACACTGTTTAATTCATTATTATTTTTACTTTTAGTCACCGAAACTTGATGCATCACCAAATTTCATGCAAAGTTCCATTGAACAATATAATCAAATTTGGATACAAGCTAAACTTGAGATGAGCAGTGAATTAGATAAAATGCCGATTGGAAAATTTCAGTAAGAATAAAAAAAAAAATCAAATTTTTAACAAAAGTTTTACTTGTTAACAATTAATATATTAATTTTAGTGTAAGTCGGCTATGGTGTTTTGGAAATCAAGGGCATTTAACACGTGATGAAATTGAAGAAAGAAAATTTCGAAAAAGTGTTTCAACATTTTTTCTATTATTTAAAGATTGGGCATGGGAAAAACAATTTCTAAAGGAGCCAGATGTTATGTTAAAGTACAGTTGTTTAGCTGGTATTTTAACATTTACTGGAATATTTATATTACAAATAATCAATAAATTGTAAGTTAAATTTTTAATTAAAATTATTTTATGGAAAAATGGAAAAGCTGATTTACTAGCAAAGTTTCTCAAGTTTAATTTTTAATATTTTTAGATCTTGTTTCTTTTGGATACTTGATGGTGTATTATTTTGTGTTTTATTATTATTTTTACCATTAACATGGTATAAAAAATTATGGATTGTATTTTCAAAAGCACCGGACGATGAAACTGATGAACCATTAGAACCAAAAAATATATTTTCAAAATTTTTTTATAAAATTTCTGATAAATTAATGCGAAATTTTTTTGGTAGATTTGTGATTTATTTATTAACAGTAGGAATACTATGTGTTGTATCGTTAATACCATTGGTAAGTTTGCTATTTAAAAAAGTACAATTTAAAATATTTGTTGTAATCATTATTATATTTCAGATACATTGTCAAGATGATGACATAAAAAAAGATGATGATTTTTATGAACGTCACCGAGTTTGCTTAAATCCATGGGTAAAAGATCATATATAATATAATTTAATTTGGGCATTTTAAGAATGAAAAATTTTTAAATATTCGATAAACATGGCCTTAAAGAAAAATATTTTATGTAGAATACATAGAATACAAGCTCAACTAACTACGGTTTAGTTTAACTACTCAGATTACACTAAGAACTCTATTAATTGCAATGATTTAGTTGTTTTCAATAACACATAATGCTAGTGTACTGTGCATTATGTTTGTTGCATTTTGAGGTTCAAGTTCCTACTGATCCTATTTATAACGCTAATTTACATTAATTTTATTATTTAATATTCAAATAAACTCATAGATACAAAAATATATTAAATTAACCAACTAAATAATATTTAAATTTTAATTTTTTAATTTATACAGGCAATTACAGAAAGTTTAATTCTAACATTATGTATGACATTTTTATTTCCCCGAATACCATATTTATTCAAATTTTTAATTGGTCTTATTATTGTAATATCATACTGTTGGATTATAATGTCATTGTATTATAATATTTATAAAGAAAGTTCATCAACCAATTTAGGATTACCAGCTGAAAGTTCACATTTATTGATATTTGTAATAAGTTTTATTGTATTTCATTTAATGGATCGTCAAAATGAATATATATCAAAAGTTGATTACAAGTAAATTAATAAATATTTATAAATTTTAAATAGTTATTTAATAAATTATGTTTTCAATGTTATTTATAGTTGGAAAAGGCAATTACAAAAGAAACAAGAAGATGCACAAGTAACAAATGAAACAATTAATATTTTAGTACAAAATATTTTACCAGCTCATCTTGGTATTCCAATATTTTCTTAATTTATTAAATTTTTTGAAAAATTTCATTAATTTTATAATAATTAATTAATTGTTTCTTAATTTTTGTTATTTTTTTTTTAGCTAAAATTTATTTAGCAAGAGAAATGAAAGATGAATTATATTCGGAGGAATATGAAAATGTTGCAATTATGTTTGCAACCATACGTAATAAAGATATTGAAAAAGTTGGATTAAATGTTTTAAATGAAATAATATGTGATTTTGATGAAATTGTAAGTAAACTAGTTTCTGTATAGAATTCCAAGTTAGTAACAAATTTGATTTTCATATACCAATTTTCTATAGTTCCTTAATTTGAATTTTAATTTTAGTTAACAAGTCATAATGGCCCATTAAAAATTGAAAAAATTAAAATTTCTGGTTGGACATATATGGCGGCATGTGGTTTAAATCCAGGTCGTTGTGAATCAATAACATCACATTGTAATAGACCAGTAATAGCTGGTAGAACTTCAACATTACTACCTAATGGCAGAAGATCTTTACATTTAGGTGGTGGTACGTTCTCTTCTAATGCATATTATTGGCAATAAATTTGAATTAATTTGACTTTTTTTAAACAATCTTATGCCTTTTCATATGTATAGGATCAAAACGTTTAAGCTATGATTCTCCACAAGTACCAACCCATAAACATTTAACTGAATCGAAATCAAATCGTGAACGTAAGGCTAGCTCTAAAAATATTCAAAATCCTGTATATGTTATGACAGAATTTGCTGTTAAATTAATGAAAAAATTACGTGAATTTGATGCAAATGAAAGTTTTACAAATGGAAAATTAAGAATTGGTAATGAAATTAAAATATTATTAAAAAATGTATTATTTAAATTTTTAAAAAATATTTGAATTTAATTTAAAAAAAAAAAAAATATTGCGTTAGTATAGGTATATCACATGGTGAAATAATGGCTGGTGTTGTTGGTTCAAGTAAACCATTATATGATGTTTGGGGTAATCCTGTTAATATGGCTTCAAGAATGGATACAACTGGAATTGATGGTAGAATTCAGGTTAAAATTTTTATATTATTCTTGATTATTCTTGATTACTTAAAATTCTTTAATTGTAATTTAATAAAAATTATGTTTTTTTTTTTAAATTTTTTAGGTGACAGAAGAAACAGCAAAAGTTTTAAAATCATTTAATATAAAATGTGAATATCGTGGTTATACATTTGTTAGAGGACGTGGTGAAATACCAACATATTTTGTATGTCAAGATGATGATCTCAATTTAATACAAGAAAATTTAAATGATAATCTTAAGCCTGAAGGTTATACAATAGCAGAAGATGTTAGTTTAAGTACAGTTGAAAGTACAGAAGATTATAATTCTGGAAAAAATGATGTTACAATTGTTATTAATGATGATACAAAACTTTAATTTATACAGTCATTAATATTAAGAGTATCAATTTATTTTTTAAGTAAAAAAAAAGAATTAATTATTAAAAAAAGAAAAACAATCGGAAATCTCAATGCAGAAAAAAAAACAAACAATTTAAAATTTTCAGAATAGCTATTAAAATATTTTTTAATTAAATAAAATAATAATAAATTAACTAAATTAAATGTATAATTATTTAAAGAAAAATACAAATTAAAAAAAAATTAATGTACTAATCAAAACAAAATTAAGACTTTGAAATTTTTTTAAATTTAAGTTTAAATTATAATTAATTTTGTATCATAACATTATTTTATATATTATTTTTTTAATTATTATTTTAATTTTTGATTTAATTATAAGATTAAACTAAAACTGTTTCAATGTAAAATTATAATAATTTAAAAATTTGTACAAGTAAAAATGTTTAGTTTAAGTATAATTATTGATTTATATTATTGAATAATTGTATTGAAAAAGACAATTTGCAAATTTATCATTAGATTTTTTCATATTGTAAATATCAACCTATATACGAATTCATATAAATATCTAATTGCACTAGATTTATTCTATATATTGTTTAGATTTTTAATCTTGTTTTTAAATTAGAATCAACGAGAATTCATAGCTCTGCATAATTGTTAGGGTGTTCGACTATATTTATTCTCTTTGAAATCATTTTCAGTGAGTTTGAATTAACTTCCTAACTTTTAATTTGTTGTATAAAAAATAATATTTTTCCTAATTTATTAAAAAATTAATGATCTGATGTTAAAATATAATTTTGATTTTAATTATTTAAATTAAAATAGTGAAGAAAATACAATGTACATTTAAATTAATTTATGTGCTCAATAATATGAAATCAAATATTAAAATTCTTCTAAATATTCAATTTTGAACAACATGAAATTTTATTCACCTTCATAATATTTTTTTTTCATCTTTCAACCAGAGATTTAAAGATTTTTTTCATTTACTACTCTTATATGAATTTTTTACCATTGGTTTTTTTTTTTAAGAACTTTTCTCCATAACTGGTTTTTATAAATTAATTTTTATTTTCTTACTTTCTTTCATTGCATCAAAAACTTTCATTAGACATTGTTCTTTAGTGAATTTCCAAACCAGATCCAACTGAAATGGTTCTTAACATTGCTGAAGCATCCAAAATGTTGTTTAAAAAAGAATTATAGGTAAATTTTATATTGTAAAATCCTTGATAAAATTCACTTCGTATGCACCAGACATTATGCATCATGGAGAAGCAATGGTAAATCTAATACCACGGTAGTCAGATGGAAAAAAGAGCTTTTTTTTTTATAAATTCATTTTTCTATAATTCAGGATTTGAATTATTGTTGTCGCTATTATAAAAATATTGTTGAAGGTTAAAAAAAATTTCCTTGTTTCGCCAGCTAAAAATTAATTCGCGAATAAGCTTTTTTATTTATTTTTATTTTTTTATTATTTTTGCATCCTCTTTTAGAATTAAAAATATAACATAGAATAAACTTTTCGCAATAAGATTCATTTTATAAATCACAGATATAAAATTTTAACCATTTTGTAAGTATATAAGATGAAAATTTTCATATTATTCTTGGCGGTCCGATGCTTTATGGGACAAAGGTTTGTTGCATCCCTATATTATATAATTATAATTGCAACATTACAAAAATATATATACAAACAAAAATAACTTAACACGGCAAAAAAAAACTAAACCAAAAAAAATATATCCTGCTGAAAAATAACATTGTTGCAATCAAATTTAACCGAACGCAAAATTATATCACAAACTATTATGTAGTAGAGTTAAGAGGGGGGTTGTTTAGGGAAGTAATTTACTGCCCAAAATATACTAATTGCGGGAGGTAATATGAAAACCTTTCTCTCTCTCTCTTCCTCTCTGCATAAGAGAGCATCAAATGAATAAAAATTACAAAATTATCTGAAATATAAAAAATATAAGAAAATATATGGAATAAAAATACAAAACAAAAAATGGAAAACAAAAATCACTCTTCAGATTCGCAGTTGTTCAAATTAGGCTCGCCAAAAAATTGGCCCATTAAAGCGATTAGCGATGACCGCTTTTTTATAAAATTTTTGTTTAATTTTTTTTTCTTCTTGTTTTCTTAGTGCAATTTGCTTTTAATATCCTTGTGATATCCTATATTGGATAAATAAATAATATAATTACTCAAGTAACATAGTTAGATTTTAAAGTGATTCTAATTATAAATACAATATTTAGGAATGATAGATCATAGAGTAGTTTATTACAAAATTCGACATGTTTAAATATCATGGTCACAAAAGTCCTTAGGCTTCAGAAATATTTTAAATTTAAAAATTATTTTGAAAGCCTAGCATATTAGTAAGATGCCAGTTTTATGACTGCTATCGCATTCAAAATTATGAAAACAAAGAGCCATCACATTATAAAATAAAGTTTTCAATATATTTTAAAGTAGAAATTAAACCACGGAATAATATTATCGGAAATATTCAGGAATATATCATTTGCAATGTAATTATGAAGCAGTAAATTAAATTTTTTTTTAATATTTTTGAATGATGCTCATAGAGCTCATATATCTTTCATACTCTGTCCGTAACTGTGTGTCTCTGACGTTGTTCCATAGGTAACGTTAGCAGTAGTGATAATTCCGTCTGTAACATTTTTGATAAATTGTTCATCGTTCACATATATAGATACAAATAAATATTATAATATTTTTAAGATATATAAACTAATTTTATATATTTTTTTTATATTGCAGGAATAGTTACTAAAAACGATGTGGAAAAGATTATCTTATTAATTTAACTTTGCTGATTTTTTTTTTTACAATCCCTCAAGAAGATATACGGATTCGACAGGAAATATCATAATTTAACAACAATATGATTTTATAATTTTAAAAATTTATTAAATCTGTGATAAGTACATACTTTTTTTTTTTAACGAAATATGGTGTTATAAAATTTGGATCATGTTAAACAACAAAACAAAAGAAGAAAAAGAACTACATTTTACATGTATATAAGTGGGTACATTTTAATATCGTCTATTTCTATATACAAGACGACGATTTCTAAATACACGACGATTACGATTTCTAACAGTACGATAACGTTTTGCTGTCCTATAACGATAACCATCATCTTGTGAAAATGAATGTCCTGGTTCTGGTTCTGGTGCTAAATATTCATTATTTGGTTCTGATATTATTGATGATTGATGTGATATACCAATATCACTACCACCATGTACTGGTGGTAAATATTCAGATGAAATTTCTGAAACATCAGCTACAACAAATGATACCATCATTAAAATAGAACAAATTGTAATGAATTTAAACTGAAAATGGAAAAGAAGAATTAAAATTAAATTTAAATAATAGAACAATTTTAAAAATGTTACCATTTTGGATTTTATATTAGAAAATTCCAAATTTTTTTTTTCTAGTTGTCTTCGGTGGTACGACGTTGAATGATTATTTATTTTAAAAATTCAATTAAATTTATATGAAAAATTCTCTTAAAATTTTAATTTATATTTTTTTAAATTTAGATAATTAAAATATAAAATGCTCTTCCATAATTAATTTGGAGATGTTAAGTTTTTTTTTTTTCTTCTTCAATTTTATGCCATTTGTATTTGCTCTCCATAGAGAGCACAGAGCTTAATTTAATTAGTTTTAGTGAATTAAAAATTAATGTGAACAAGTACTCCACCAAAACAAAAAATTTTTATTTTATTCTTCATTTTTGTTTTGACTTTTTTTTTTTAAATTATCGTAGATTAAAATCTATTTTTTATTATTGAATATTGTATAGGCATATAGTATAGTTTAAAATTAAATCTTGTTTGGTATTTTAATTATTATTTATATTTTATAAAGAAATAATTCTTGATTCTAATTATAAAAATGCTTGTAGGATGATAATAATAAAAATTGTATTATATAATATAATTGAAATAACAAATATAATAATAGTTCCGCATATAATTAAAATTTAATATGATATTTTGAAGATTGTAGCATTTCAAATTGTAAATTAATTATATAATAGTGATTTTAAACTAATTATATTATGGGGAAATAAATTCTTTATTCTGGTTAGCATAAATAATAAATATTATAATCACATGTTTAAATTAATGTGAAACGTGTAACATAAAGTTTAATGTCGTATATGAGATTTAGAACCGTAAAAATTTTCTTTATATTTGTTACACGTTTAATAAATTATGTAAATGTCTATATTAAAATGTCTATGTAGGATTAAAATAGATTGACACATTAAATTACTACAATTGAAATATAAAACTGTATATAAACCCATGATGCCGAAATTATAGCAATGCCATATAGATTTAACAATTGTATATCATGTTGTATTGAAATTTCAATGTCAAAGTAATTATTTCAACAGAATTTAGAATTTTTGTAAGCTTCAAAAAGATAAGAACAACACATAATTCCAAAAACTTTAAAGACAAGGACTTATGCAGCATAATGTAATTAAAAATTACAAAAAATATGACAAGCAGATTTTAAATTTGAACTCATTAATTAAAATAAAAGAGAGAAAGTTGATTAATTGAACAAAATTTTAATTTATGAAGAAAATGAGACAAATACCGTAAAACTTGTATCAAATTGAAGAAGTGAAACGGAATAACATAAAATCATTTTTTAATCTCAGTAAATTATAGGAATGAATTTTGATAATAAATAATTTCAAGAACAAATTGCGAGTAGAATGTATTAAGAAGCTAATATAGAAACGTTAAATAAAACAATATAATATAACTATTATTTTATCGTAAAAAATATTAAAAATCGAGATTCTAGAGTACATCATATTTTTGTTCCTTAATGTAAATTTGAATTTTCATACTCATTTATCAAAAAAACAAAAAAAAACTTTCCTCTCTCTTTTAAACGGCATATATAATTTACGATTTCTGCTTTTTTATTAAATATTTGTTATATACATATATAACATTTATATATGTACGTACTTATATTAAAATACAAGTATATTACTATAGTACAAACACATACTAACATGCATATAGCTTAGTAACATTAATTGTGTTATAATAACTGATATACTATTAGTGAAAGTAATATCGTATATAAATGTACAAAATACAAAATAACATGTGTAAATATTTTTTTTCGATTTTATTGGATAAGCTTTATTTAAGAATTTACGAAACGAGTTTTAGAAAATTTTATATTTTGAAAATCCCGGCTTGTTCTCATTTAATTATATAATTAAGTATATCGTAAAAAAAATATTTAATATCTATAAGACTTTATTATTTATAGGGTAGGCAAATGGGCGCATGATTTCGATGGGAAAAAACCTTTTTTTTTTAAAAAGCAAGTTCTAAAATAATAAATTTGATTTTTTAATTTTATTTTTATTTTTTTCAAATACGAGTTAGTAACAAGAAGTATGAGTTATATAATAAAAATTACAGAATATATTATAAAAAATTTTTAGGTAGCTTAATCAAATTTATGTAGCTAGATAAAATAATAAAATAATTTGTGCTATAATTTTAATGAATTTTAACAGCTATTAATAATTAAGACATTTTTTTTTTATATTTAAGCTAATTTTGACTTGTTTATCAGCACTCAATAAATAATCAAGATCAAATTAAATTAAAATATAAATTATGATTTAGAATTTAATATTATTGAGCATTATGGCTAATTAATTTAAGAAAATCAAATTAAATTTAAATTAAATTAATTATAAATTTGAAAACATGTTTTAATTTTAAAATTGAAAATTAATTAAAAATAATTTCGTATAAAATTTAAGAAACCAATTAAATTGCTCTTAATAATGCTTAAATAGATAATTAAATAGAAAAATTAAATTTCAAATTGTTAAGGTGTTAAACAAAATGTAGGAAACAATAAATTTATTATAAATAAATGGTAAGTTTTCCAATTTCATTTATTTTATAGTATACGGTAGTATTGAATTTAATTGATTCTACCTTTTATATTTTAGTAACAATTTAATTGGAATGAAAAAATAAATTTTAATACATGAATGAAATATGAACAATTAATTCCACATAAAAAGCTTTAATACACTTACTAATTAGTGTTGATTAATTTGGCAAATTTAACTATAATTTTTGGGAATGGTAAAAAAGATATCAGAATAAATTTTTATATAAATTTAATAAACATTTTGTTAAAAAATATTATTTCAATTTTAGCAATTGGACAGTGATTAACGAAGCCATAAAGCCAAAATTTTTCTTCACCTCACAATTCTTAGAATAAAAATGGTAATTTCCTTTTCAAATATTAATTTAATTAAGTTATATAAATTTTATTTATTTTTTTTTTTACTTTAATTTTCAGTTTAAATCCATTACAATTTGTGCCATTTTAATGATTGTATCATTTGTTGTAGCTGATGTTTCAGAAATATCATCTGAATATTTACCACCAGTACATGGTAGTGGTGATATTGGTATATCACATCAATCATCAATAATATCAGAACCTAGTAATGAATATTTAGCACCAGAACCAGAACCAGGACATTCATTTTCACAAGATGATGGTTATCGTTATAGGACAGCAAAACGTTATCGTACTGTAAGAAATCGTAATCGTCGTGTATTTAGAAATCGTCGTCTTATATATAGAAATAGACGTTATTAAAAGATATATATTTTGAAAATTTAATTAATAGCTAGAGTTTGTAAAAAAAAAAAATTAAATAACTATATCTATAAAGTTGAATATCTGTCTACTAATAACTTGGAATATATTAATATTGTTAAAGAACTAAGAAGGGATTTTAACTTTGAAAAGTAAATTTTAAATTGATACTGAAATTTTATTTTAGATATAACAATAAAATTTAATTAGTAAATTGTGAATTTATTATATAGTTCGGGTTAATAAGAGAGATGACTTATTATAAATAACAAGAGCAGCAAGAATTATTTCATTCTTTCCATTCAGTCAAGTAAAAATTTGCGCTAAGAATCAACATAGTGTAGCGTAATAATAATTGTTTAGGTATTATCATATACATATAGCAATATTACATTATTATCAAGCTATGATTAATCTCAATTTTTCGAAATAAGTAGATATCAGAGATTGTAAGAGATTTTCAATGAGAACTTACCTATATCATTTCCGCTCATCTGTTTGGAATTCGTTTAAAAAATTGTTAAAATAAAAATGTATTGTTAAAATTTAATTGTAACAATTAATATTTTAAGTAATTTAATGTTAAATTTATTAATTCACGCAATATTTACCTTAATTTCCAAGCTATAATATTAATCTTCCTATAGAAATATATAAAATTTGAAATAAAAATATAAAACACATTATGTTTTGGTTTTTCTATAAAAATTAATTAATATATTTATTATAAAAATTGAGAATAATTAGTTTTTTTTTTTTTGTTATTTTAAATAAATACAAAAAAAAACACATTTTTTTTTTAATCAAACAAATTAAAAGAATTTGTTTTAAAAAAGTGATAATATTAATGATGTGATTATATAGTAAGATAAAAGTAAAATATTTTAAGAATTTGTTCATTTTTAATATTTGCATGCACATATTCATTTATATTATATAAAATATTACGAATAAATTTATTTTTTATAGAAATTCTAAATCAAACGAGATTATATTAACTTGTTCCCAAGAAAAATTTTTTTGCAAAAACAATTTAATTCGCTTTAAAATCTTAATTTTAATTTCTATTTTTTTTTTTTTTTTTGAAAAAACATCGATTTAATAATATGTAAGTACTTTTATTTATAAAAGTACATCTAAAATTTTTTCTAATTTTGTAAAAACTGTTTTTATGATGATTATTTTTTTTTTTTTTTTATAAAATATAAAACTTTGATTGGTATATAGTTTGTTTATCCTAATAAAATATTCTACAAGTATTCATTTATTATTTAAATGTAATATTCGGAATCAATGATTTTCTTCTTCTATATTATTTCATATCATTTAATTTTATTGTATTTGATTTTATAAGTAAACGCTATTCGTTTCTAAGTTGAACAGCTTTAGAGAGTACAATATTAATATCAATAGGTGGAAAATTTTGTAATAATTTAACATTTGAGCCGAAATCATTTTGTAAAATTTGTTCACGAACAATACTAAAATTAAATTAAAAATTTTTATTTTAATATTTATTATAATATGTATAAACTGTAAGATTTAACATACACTATCATCGCACAGCAAATTTCAATTATAAAACTGAAACGTTTTTCATCAGCAAATACAGAATCCCATATTCTAACAACATCTGGTAATGGAAATTCTTGTGATAATAGTAATGTCAACCATCTTTAATTTAAAATAAATTAAATTTAATTATTTAATTGAAAAAAAAAAAGAAAATTATTTTACCTAAAACTATAGTATTGAGGATATAAATCTTGTTGTTTTAATGTATTAAAAACAACATCATCTTTTTCTTTGAGCATTTTTGACAATTTGGCCATCATAAATTTGATACCATGTTCGGAATCATCTAAAGTTTTAATAAAAAAGTCTCTTATTTCAGCCATTAATGATGTAAAACAGAAAAAACAATCTGCTTCTGCGTGTTCTACCAAAAAAATAATAAAAATTATTGTAAGTTTACAAGTGATCAATTTTTTGTTTTTTTTTTTTTTTTAGATACTATAACTTACTTCTAAATTCTATATTTGGATCTGATGCCATTACATAATAAATAGGACCAATAATTTCATTCATTCCTTGTACATATCCTTGACCAGGATTTAATTTTGCATATAAAAATAATATTCTTTGTACAACTTCCCAATGTGCTTCTTGTCCTTCATCCATTGCTTCATAATTTTCAGCTGATCTTTTTGTTATTAAATTAATCTATAAAAAAAAGAAATTCGCCGTAATTACATATTATAAAATATTATTAAAAATGTGTTAGTAAAATGTTGCAGTAATTTTTTTTTTACTTTCTCGTTTCACATGACTAATTTTATTTTTAATTCAAGCATATTTTGCAGAAAGCATTGTAATTAAGAAAAATGCAACATATTACTTAACAAATTATGTTTAACAATTAAAAAAATATATAAAATGAGTTTAGAAATGAATTTAAAAATTAAAATAAAAATTCAAAATCTCATAATCAAATATCAGTGACAATATTTTAATCGATAATTTTCTTACTTGCTATTTTCCAAAATAAGATAGCATTCAAAAAAAATTTTAAATATTAGAATTTTAGTAGCAATAAACATATTGAAATGAATAGAATATAAAAAAAAAATTCAAACCTTAGTCATTCCTAAACCTTTTCTTTCAACATTTGCTGAACTAAAAACTGATGGTGCTACTCTTTGATGTAATCTTCTTTCACCTTTACTATTAACAACAACTTCACATGGAAATTCAGTTGGCTGTTGAAAAAATGATATATCAGGACATAAACGTCTTACATCTTTATCAATTTGCAAGAGAAATTCATTATCTTTGAAGAATATACCTATTTAAAAAATAAATATTTAAAATATTATATCTTAAGTATGCATTTTAAAATAAAATAAAATAAAACAGTTTTTACTCCATGCACTTTCAGGTCCTTCACTTAATGGATGATCTGAACATTCTTTAGCTGAATTAATACCTGGTGGTACAACTAATTCATCTATAAATTGCTTATATAAATTTCTTTTTTTCTTTAATGTTTCTGGCCATGTACTTCTTACAGTACCAAGATAACCTAATAAAATTTTCCAACATAATGAACGAAAACCATTTGCATCAGGTATACCTAAAATTATAATAAATATTGTGATATTTACTTAAATATGAGTAATTTATCGATCATTTACACCATAAATAAATATATTGAAAGTAAATAATTGATAACAATTGATTTCTTTATATGGAATATTATTATGATGCATACAATATGGAAAGTAAAAAAAAAAAATGTTCCACCTACCATTAAAACAAGCGCCTGTTAATCGTTTAAAATCAATTTCTTCAGCTGAAAGAATTTCTTCAAATTCTTTTAATCTAAATAATTTTAAATTAAAAAATATTATTTATTTTCTATTTGGAATAATTTATTTTATATTAAATTTCTTTTTTTTTCTGTATTACCTCTGCCTGTAAATTGACATGTTTAATTGTATTTTCATTGATAAAATAGTAAAAAGTAGGAGGTGTATACAAAATTTTTTGACATTTGTTTTTCTTTTATAATAATATGTTTTACAACGCACAGCTGGTTTTGTTTTTGTTTTGATTGGAAAAATTCCCAGTAAACAATAATTAGGAATAAAAAATGACAGCTTTTTGGATATTGTGAAACAAAACAAATTGGAAATGAAACATTAACATTGAAAAAACAGTTATATAAATTTTTTAAAATGGTAATGGATATGTTTGCAATATCTGTTAATGAACCTAGATATAAATAAACTCACATATTTCGAAGAATGCAAATATGTGTTCAAGATTATAAACAAGAAGATGAAATCGATATTATCAATTAAAAACAAGAGGCACCTTGAATAGCTACAACACAATACATAGAGGGCATGTAATATGATACCTAGAGCGACATGAAACTAAGAAATTAAATGGTTAAACGTGCAGTGCAATAAGAATATACAAAATCTTATCAGATGAAATAAAAAAAAAAGTAAATTAATTAAGTTATCGTAATCATTGAGAAGATCACCATCAGGATTGTAGAAATATGGCCACCAGAGTGCTACACAACGAAGTTCATAGTCATCCACTGAGAATGGTAGGAGGTATGTTAAACAGGGATTCTCACTTTCGACCATAGTGTTCAACATCATGTTGGATCATTTGGTGATGAAGAAAACATTAACGTCATTGAGAGGCATTGATTCTAATGAATCGCCTGAAAAAAGAAGAAAAATTATGGGGTTTTATTTATTTTTTGTTTCTCTTGATCATAAAATTGAGTTGTTAATTTTAAAGCTAACAAAATTATTTTTAACATATTAAACATGAGTTGTCAATAATTGTAAAAAAATCTATTTTAGTAATCTTCTTTAAATTTTTAAAGTATACCTTTATTCTGTGTATTATTCTTTTAAGATAGAAACGAAAACCTCTTTCTCTACTAAAAAATTATATTTTGTGTATTGTGAGTATTGTTGTATATGTGCATGTCTAGACCATAATATTACAATATATTAAATGATTTAACTCAAAATATTTTCAAAAAAATTTTTTTTTTTGTAAAATTCTTACAAAAAGGATTTTTTATTTGGGTAATCAAATTTTTTCCTTCAAAAACAATCAAATTTTGTGTTTAGAGCTGAATTCCTCTATATATATATATATATATATATATATATACACATAATGTACATAAAAAGAAATATTTTATAAAGAATATAATCTTAATAATATTAACCAAATATTGGATCTATTTAAATGTGTATATGTTTAGCGTATATACGACATATATCTTGATCTTCTTATACAATCCTATACAATTAATATATATTATATTTTTATTAGGTGGTATAGGACGCGAGGAACATAAGAGAAACATGCGGTCCAATGCATACACGTGTAAACAGTTCCATTGTTTTAAGTAGTGCATTTGTATTTTTATGATATTTTACAATGATAAATTTTATTTTTATAGGAGAGAGGGCGTGATTAGCATAAGAGAAGAGCTGTACATAAGATCAATGAATAAACGTGTAAATAAGCCAATTATTTTAAGAAGTGCGATACAAGTTGTGCGGCTGTATATCAATGATATTTTGGAACTAGGAGAAAATATTTTTCTTTTAATATTAAAGAAACGTAAAATATTAATAAATTTAAATATTTTTAATAATATTATTATTGGTATACAAATATTTTATTATTTTTTATTTATTGCCTGTTTATTAGAAAATTGATGTCTTATAGGCATATATTGTATACTTCTATTACTAAGACTAACTGTTATACTTTAGCATACTCTATATTGCCTGCATGTACCTGTTTGTCTATTCAACATAAAAAAAAATATAGGAAATATCAAAGAATAAGTAGAAAAGTTTCTTTAAAACTTATAGAAAAAAACTTTTTTTTATTAAACAACATGGATGAAAAAATGAGACAGAACAAGAAGACAAAGAAGAAGTCAAAAAAAATATGTAAGAATTATTATTTTTAAACTAATTTTAATTTGATTTATTATTACTAAAAGCTTTTCCATTATTATTTATATATAATAATATACATACATACATATGAAAATAACCTTAGATGTGATATAAAAGTATAACAGATATAATTCTTTTTATTATATAACTTCAATTTCCTTTAACAAACTGTGCATGAATTTACATTCATACTGCATTTTGTAAAATCTGTTAGGAAGGTTATTATTTTTTTCTTTTATGCCTTCTCATGATGTGCAAAAAAAATGTTATCTATCGGCAAAGTATGTTGTTATAATAATATGTAATATATAATACGATAGATGGAGTTTTAATACATTATTTAAGGTAAGCAAGAGTTATAATAAATAACTTTTATACTATATAGATGTACGAATATAAAAACTATTATACAAGCAATAGAAAATTTCACAGTTTAACCTTAAAGTTTTTTTTTTTACAAATTTTATTATTATTATAATATTTTAGGTATTTTTTAAAATGTTATATAGGTATAAAACAAAAATGTACACCCAGTGCATCAGGAAATATTTTCGCACTTAATTTTTCAATTCTGTATTAAATTAATTTTTCTCTTAAAGTGGTGGCACACAGAATTAAATATTGTTTTACTCTTCTCATTTCTTGTAAAGAACAAGTTTTGCTCTTCTCATTTTTGTTTGTTGTATAAAGTTATTTTTTTTCTCTTACTCCATTTGGGAGCATTACGATCTTCAACTTGAATTTTTACAGTAAAGCGTCAGTTTCCCAAGTCATTATAGGTTAACTGGTCGGTGAGCGGTGATCAAATTTTGCATTTAGATCTGAACTGTATAACAAACCCTCTTGTATACTTACATACAATAATTATAGCCAGTAGGTTTTAAATATTAACTAAATTAATAAGAATAATTGCATTAATAAATTAAATTACAAAAATATGCTTAAAATAGCTATATAAATCCAACATTTAAATTAATTAAACTATTAGGGTCATTTGACCCCTATCGATGTAATATATAGAATTATATAAAAGAAGTTTAATATAATAGGCTCACTTCTCTTAATTAAAATTTTAAAAATTTTAAAAATAATTAAAAATTAAGAAAAATTTTAATAATTCCAGTACATTAATAATTATATACAATTTTATATACATACACTTAATATAAATACAACCCTCGTGACCCACCGTATATTGAATGAAATATCAATGGGGTTAAAAATAATTTTTAATACTCGTTTATATATAATATTTAAATAAAAAAATAGAAAACTCAAAAAATAATATTTATGAAGATTTTCTGTGCAATGAGCAGTACACCCTCGGAAATTTTTTCCAATTTCCAAAACTTTTTTATTTTTTCTTTCTTATTACATTTTATGCAAATTTCAATAAATATATGCAAAGAAAATTTATATATTATAGGTGCATACACCTACACAGATATACAATAGTATAAAATAAATAATTTTTTTTTCCCCCATTATTTTAATTTTATATATATTACGCCTTGACCGAATGAAAGATATATGAGAATAATACAACAATTTAGTTTAGCATGCTGATGTCTAACTTTTTAATCTATAAATTTCCTATTATACACTTATATCAGGTATACATATAAGGTATTTTATAAGGTAATGTTATAGTAGGGTAAATATAGGCACTTAAAATGCATACTTAATATGAGATGAGCGTATGCAATAAAATAAGCTATTAAAGGCTATACAGAGCTATACAGAGAAGAAGAAGACAACCTTTAAAATGCATTTAAGTTACCTTTAAGTACTTTATTGTCCAATTGTTGTTGCTATTATTTTCCCTAATTTTCTTTTTTTTATACGTTGCAATATATTAAGAAATAAAGGATATTATTATATGTATGAATGAATGTATATATTGCGATGATGGTGCATTGAAATTCAAATACATATTATAAATAATGTGAAAAAGTAATAACTTTTAAAGAAAATGTTTAAGTAACAAAAGAAAAAATGACTAAAAGAAAAGGAGAAATTTAATAATAATAAAGTTTGATCAAACCAATGGTTTGTATTGTAGCACTTTTCCCTTCAACAAGTGAAAATATTGCTTTAAAAACAATCTATACGTATATCTACCATACTATTAAAATTATTTTCATTCATAAACGAAAATATTTCTAGGATTGCATATATTTAGGATGAACGATTTATGCGGTCTTTGAAAAAAAGTAAAAATAAATTTTAAGACGGGTTGCAATAATGCTCGCTTTTAAGGGTTAATTTCGTGAGTTACAAAAAATAATTATATTTTTTAATGGCGTGGAATTTACCGTTATCTCTTTGCGTTTATAGATATTTGAAAAACCTTGCAGTTTCGGAAATATAAGGTGCCGAAAATTCAAATTTTACAAATTTTGAAAGGCGATAACTTGAAAGAGGGTGAAGATGGAAAAAAATTTTCTTCTAACGAAATAAACTATTTATTATTATCTGAAAGTTACTAAAATTTCAGGCTCCTACAACCTGAGGTCTAGAAAAAAAACGATATCAAAAATGTAGAAAAAAACATATTTTAGATAACGGTAAATTTTAACGGCCATTTTGTTTTTTTAAAGTTCAAACATATTATGCTGCGGTACAAGAAGGTAGCCACTGTATTTCTGTGTTAAAAATGCTTATGGTTTCGCTGTATAAAAATTAGTTGAAAAATGGTATTTTTAGGGTTTTAGGGGGGTATAATTTTTAGAGTCGGGGGAGATAGGGAAAAATTGTTTTCTATGGAAATAAATGTCTAGTAAAGATCTATGTACATATGAAATTTTATCTCTCTATCTTTAAAGGTGTGGAAGTTTTGTAAACAAAAAAAAGTGTCCACGGACGGACGGACAGACGGACAGAGTGAAACTAATAAGTACTTTTTTTCAAAAATGTTTTTTTTTTGGAAAAGTGCTAAAAAATATAGAAAATTTAAAATTTAAAATATATTTTTGTTTTTTTTTCATTTCTTATTATTCTTATGTCTGAATAATATTAAAAGGAGTATAATTTATTATAA